AATGCAGGTTTGAATTCTGGCCCTGCCTGGTGCTGACTGCTGGGGGCCCCATGGTCCAGAGTTCACCTTCCAGGGAAGACAGATTCAAATTGCAGCCAGGCGGCCTTGGCCAGGTTATCTCACTTCCTTGAGGCAACTCTGGGGACACGAAGCACCTAAGTATCAGGAGAATGAAATGAGGCAACGGGAGCGTTCAGGGCAGTGCCTGACAAGAGATCTCACGCGTCTTGGACGCTCTACATCCCCTCCCTGTGAATCTGGGCTCGGTGACGGCTGGACCAATGAATGAATGGGACAAAAGTGATACCGCGCCTGGGCCCAAATATTCAGAACCTGGCAGCTTCCACTTCCTACCCTGGGTCATTCGCTCTAGGAACGCGGCCACCATGCTGCGAGGAGCCCACGACACGCCCCAGCTTGCCAGCCGCCTCCTCAGTGCAGTGCCCGGTGCCAGCTGGCGCTGTGAGCAGAGATGAGCCTTCCCCAGCCAGCCAGGCCCAACCGCAGATGTGTGAGCGAAATAAATGACTAGTGTTGTGTTAAGCCACTCAGTGTTGAGGTGACAAGAGACCACTGGGACAGTTAAGGTCAGTCACCAGCCAGTCAACACTTGGAGACCTGGGAACCCACGTGCTCACCTGTAACCATGGTTACTGGGAGGTCAGCGGGGATGCAAATGAAGGGCCCTGGCATTAAGTCCTGAGCAGACAAGTCCCCTGACCCCTGTGCGGGATCGGCTACATCCTGTGTGGGACCCAGGGAAGATGAAAACACAGAGCCCCTCGTTCAAAGCGTGTCGATCGTTTTCCAGACGGTGACAGCAGCGTATGAACCAGGCTCGGCCTTCTAGGCAGGGACCCCGCGGGACTGCACAGGCCGGAGGGCCAGGAGGCGGCAGGCGTCCTGCTCCTTGTCTGTGCTTGTCTGTTGGACTGTGGCAGTGGTTCTCAACCTTGGCTGCACATTAGAATCGCCTGGGAATCTTTTTGAAATCCTGATTTTAAACTCCCATGGGCCCAGACATCAGGCTTTTAAAAAGATTCCCAGGCGATTCTAATGTGCAGACAAGGTTGAGAACCACTGGTCTATGGGGACCACTTGGTTCTTACAAAGCTGTTGTACAAATACACACCCAACGCTCTTACCACAGGTGCTTTCGCTTTAACACCATTTTTTTTTTTCCAAAGGAAGATTGAGAATCAGCAAATAATCTTCACTGTTCACTCAGGCTAGATGGCCATTTCCCCACCCCAGTCCCAACTTACACAGCGAGAACCAAACTTACCAAGCTGGCGCTTCAGGCAAACCACCTTACCTCTACAGGGCGCGGTCTCCCCATCTGGAGAATGGGGAGGCTTGTTCTCGCCCTTGGGTCCTGGCATGGGGCAGAGAGCGGGGCATGAGTTCTGAGGGTGTGAAAGGCGATCCGATTGTTGGCCAGTCCTCCAGCGGAGGCTCTCTGTCCATCTGTCCTCCTGGGCCTGGGTCTCCCTGTCTCAGAATCAGGCGACCTTCGAGGAAAGCCGCCCCCAGGAGCAAGGCTCCGGCTGGGTTAGCTCTGCGGCAGGAGGATCAGAAAGAAATCACAGCTCGGCTGCCCCCTGATCTCAGGCAAGTTGCCCAGCCTCTTGCATAAAACGAGGAATAAAATCAACCTCCTCCCTACCTCCCAGCGGTGGCGACTTGGAGGTGAAAGGAAACGTATCTAGAGGGCATAGCGCAGGGGTGGGCAAACTTTTTGACTTGAGGGCCACAATGGGTTCTTAAACTGGACCGGAGGGCTGGAACAAAAGCATGGATGGAGTGTTTGTGTGAACTAATATAAATTCAAAGTAAACATCATTACATAAAAGGGTCCGGTCTTTTTTGTTTGTTTTATTCATTTCAAACGGGCCGGATCCGGCCGTGGGCTGTAGTTTGCCCACAGCTGGCATAGCGCCTGCTGATAACTGTGATGTAAACACAGCGGGGGGCTACAGAGGGGGTGGCGCATGGGCAGAGGGGGACTTGGAACCACAGAGCTGGGGGATTGAACTCTAGCTCTGGGGCTTCCTGGCTGTGTGACTGTGCTTGGTTGCTTCACCTCTCCAAGCCTCAGGTCAAGGGGAGTGCTGATCCGCAGCCCACTTACTTCCAGCTGCGGTTCTGAGGCCCAAGTGCATGAAGAATGTCGAAAGCTTTGAATAAACCTGACAGCGTTTCAGGTGCTTTCTAGGGGCTGCTGGTGGTGACTACCGTTTTCTGAACAGGGAACAAGCCAGGCACCAGGCCAAGACCTCACGCATTGTACCTCCATCCACCTAATGCAGAGTCATTTTCATGTACGGGTTGCAGATCAGGAAGCCAAAATTGAAAGCGCTTAAGGGCTTCGCTTGAGGCCCTGCAGCTGGGAACTCCTTGAGCTGGAGATTGAGACCCAAAGGCTCCTTCCTCCTTCCTCCCCGCTCCACCCCCCACATCAGGAGCCCTAATGAAACGGGATGGGGAGTTTGCCCACACCCAACACAAACAAAGGCCCGTGGTCTCCCCAGGATTTCTGGGTTTGGTTTTTACTCTTCTGGAAGACACCCAGAGAAAGAGGAACCTAGACTGACTGCCTGCCAGGCAGCCAGCCCCCCCACCCCCCTCTCTGGGCGACAGCAGCCTGGCCCCGGAGCTGCTGCGTTCCTCGTTAATTCGCTGGGAGCAGCCTTCCTGCAGGCCTTTCTGAGAAACATCCAACTGTTTCCCGGCTACCAGCAGCCTCAGCCTTTGTCTGAAATCAGCTGAAACCACCTTTGCTGGCCTTTCCCGCCCACTGCTGAGAGAATAGCAGGATGTTTATTGTTCTAACGGGAGGGAAAATAAACGTAGTCTTTTCTTTTTAACTTTTCTTCGTTCATGTTTATTTCTTTTTTTTTTCCTTTTCCTTTTTATTGAATTTATTAGGGTGACACCGTTAACAAAATCACACAGGTTTCAGGCGCACGATTCCACAACACATCAGCTGTACACTGTGCTGTGTGTTCACCACCCCAAGTCAAGTCTCCATCCGTTTTGACAATAAAATCTGAGCACCTTGCAATGGCCCACGAGGCCCTCCGTGGCCTGGCTGTCGGCCTGCCTGCTCACCTTCTCTCCGCCTGGCCCCGGTGCTCCCACCAGGTGTGCTCCTCGAGCCCCAAGGCCAGGAGCCTCCCCACCTGGGGGCCTTTGCAGCGGTGGTTCATGACTTCCCAGGTCGCTGGGTCCCCAGGTCCTCCTTGCCCACGCATCATGTCACTCAGGTGGAGCTCAAAGGGCACCTCCTGGACCACCTGGCTGGAGCCGACCCTGCCTTCGAGGCGCTGCCTGGTCCCCTAACTGGGGCGCCCCTAGCACATAGCCCCATTGTCTCCGGAATGACCTTGTTCACAGGTTCGGTTCTGTGCCATCGTGGATCTCAGCCGCTGGACACAGGGCCCACAGAGGCGGTCTGAGCTCAGTGCATCCTCTGCAGCTGGACCGGGCCTGGCTCATCACAGGTGTGTTTGGAAGGGAGGGGGGAGGGAAGGAGAGGAAAGGAGATTTTGAACAGCAACGCGGTGCCGCCCGGAACACCCTGGGACCACAAGCAGGACGTCCCTGCAGAGGGACCGGCAACACTTCACAAATGCACAGAGTTACAGACATCTAACCAACCGCCACCCCTGTGACTGTGACATGAGGGGTCCTCTGGGTGCTCCACGGAGCAAGAAGCAGTCTGTCCACTGTGGGGTTCCCACAGCAACACACCCCGAGGGAGGCCAGGCCCCACGGGAGCCTGGAAGCCTGACAGCCTCACCGAAGCTAACGCCAGCCTGGAACCAGCCACCAGCTTTCATGTTGTTTTTCTGGGAGAAGAGTGTTCTCAGCCCGATGCCTCCTGGAGGTTACCTGTTGGTAAGTTAGAGGGGCTGAATTCTGCAGACCCAGGAAGGGCTCACCCTTGGCAAGTGGCCGCTGGGCTGGACCGAGGACAGAGGCTGCCACGCAGCAAACACCAGCCCCATGTCAGGTGGCGTTTAAGGGAACCCCACAACCCTGGCCCATTTCACAGATCAGGAAACTGAGCTCTAGGGAGGTCAAGGCACCTAACCTAGACAGCCCCACTAAGCGGCAGAGCTGGGCCTGAATCCCAGTCCCTGCCGCACACTGTCTGTCCGCACCTCGGTCACTTCCGCTGCAGACCTGCTGCTCTGGGGCACCCCGCAGGGTCCCAGGCGTGCGCCCAGCATGGGTGTTGGCCCAGGGCCAGGGGCCTGGAGAGGGTGCAGGAGCCCCAGGTGGGCTCGGCCAGCTTCCCCTTGGGCTGGAGTAGCCATCCTTAAAGCGTTTAATGTTCTCACCTTGGCTTCCAGTCAAGCAGGACTGACACGGTCAAGGGCCTATGAGTGAATCGGGTCCCTGCCCCACCCATCTGTCCCCAGCCCCTCCCTGCCCCCCTCAAGGACAGGGAGGGCCAAGGAAGGGGTGGAGGTGAGAAGGCACCCAAGAAACTTCAGCTGGAGGGCAGCCTCTCGCCTCTGCACAGTCATTTCTGTTCAGCCCAGCAGAGCAGTCCCTGGGGCTGTGGGACAGCAATGACTGGGATGGGAGGGGCAGGAAGATGGAGACATGCGAGATTGAGTCTCCTGCTCCATCTGAGGGCGGGCCTGGCCTTAAGCACCTAGAGTCGTCTCCCACCTCCGAGACCGCACTGGCAGACAGTGGGGTTTCTCCGAGTATGACAGCCTCCACAGGACACTCATCACTCCTTCCTGACTGCGGCCGTTCAGGAAGGGGGTGTGCACATGTGAGGTGCCCTGCACCCTGGGAACTGCCACCCTGAGCAGCAGGGCCCTGGTCCACCTGCCCATCTGAACAGCAGAGGCTAAGAAGGCCCTGTCACTGGAGGGCGGAGATATTCACCCGGCCCGCACTGACCACGGGCGGGGCCTGGAGTCCTGCGGGGGCGTGGAGGGGGGCTTCCAGCTCCTGCATGCAGCCCTCGGCTCACATTGACCCTTCAGTCCCTCCCTGTGACCCCCAGGCTGGGGCATCTGTGCAGCTTCTGTGATGCCCCCTCCCCACAGCCCCTTCTGCAAACACCCACAGGGAGCCTGGTGTAGAGCAGCTTTATTCAGAGTGTCCTCGAGGCAGGCCTGGGCCAGGGCGCGGGAGTTACAGGGAGGAAGACCCTCCAGCAGCGGAGGGGTGGCTCTGCGGGCAGCAGCGCCCTGTCCCCAGAGGCCGGGCAGAGGGGTGGCGGGATCCCCGTCCTCAGAGCTTCTCGAAGACTCTCAGTCTCCATGAGAGAGTCCTCAGCCTTATGGTCATTGGTAAGGAACTTTGTGAGTTTTTAAAAGATCATGTTCTGTGAAGGGCTCTTGGACGAGGGAGTGCGTCATTTCATTAAGCAGATGTCAGGGCCCCCACAGGCAGCCCGAGCCCTGCCCACGAGGTGCTGGGCGCGTGCTGACTTAGGGCACGGAGGCTCGGGTGCAGAGCCGCCCACACAGGCATTTGGGCAAAGATCACCCATCCCACATGAACTTCTCCAGGTTCTGGTGTAACGGCCTCTCCAACTTCCCCCAAAATACCTGAGAGGTCTCAGAAACGGCCCCTGCGATTCCTGACCCGGCCCCGACTTCCTCCAGCGACGAGCGGCTGGTGTGTAAACAGCAGCTTTCAGGACTGGCTTCGGAGGGTAATTCCAGGACCCGAGACTCGGTGCCCGGCCTGCCACCCCCTGTCATCTGCCCACGGGTCCTTTTCCAAGGCCACGCGCCTGTGTACATGCGTCTGAAAGCCCTGGGAGAGCAGGCCAGCTGACCGATTATTCCTTAGTGTGCGATGCACACATCCTGACCCCATATGAGCTACGCAGAGCTTCCCCCCAAGCCCAGGATAAGGCAGACGCGGCTTTTGACATCCATGTCCCAACACAGGTGCGGAGCAGCTGCTGCAAGAGGCAGGCCTGGTGCCGTCGGGACCCACGAGGGCGGCATATCCAGGGAAGGGCATCTTCATTTCCCAGGACAGAGCGGGCGGTGCCCACCGAGCAGGCAAGGACCCCGAAGGGCCCACCGTCGCTGGGACTGGTAGGGACATTCTGAGATGAGCGAGTTGATCCTAGGCCGGGGACCCACCGAGGGTCCACAGAACAGGGAAGGGGCAGCACCAGGTGGGTCCCCCCTCGGCCCACGCAGGGTTGGAGGCAGGCTGGGCACCACCAGGCCTAGGGCACAGAGCACAGCATGGCTGCAGTGGCTGAGATGGGCCAGCCGGCCGCCTGAGTCCTCTGTTTCCCTTCTGACGGAGGAGAAACCACAGGCACTGGCTCGAGGCCACTGCGGGCCGAATTTACAGTAACTGCGGGCTGTTGGCCTGGTAGCAAGGCCCCATGGGTATCTCTCCAGGGGCCCAGTTGAGGGGAAAAGGCTTGGGGTATGGGCCTCATGGCCTCTGCCTCAGGTGGGCTCCACTCTGGAGGGCGGGGGGCCCATGCCAGGACTGTGGGGTATCTTCTCAGTAGCAGCAGAGGCGAAGCGTTCAGTCCCTACTGTCTGTCTTTCTGTTGCCCCAGCAAACATCGCCATTCAAATCCAGCACCCTGCTTGTCTCCCCTGCACAGGCCACTGCCCCAGGGTCAGGGTGGGGGCAGCTGGGTGAGGATGCAGGTAGAGACCCAGGCCCCTCCTGCATTGACCACTGGGTGCTTGGACACTCAGGTCAGCAGATGGGCCTCTGCACCAGCGTGGCCCACCGTGCCGCCCAGTCCCAGGGGCACCCAGCTGCTCTCTCAGCCCCGGCCAGGCCTCACTTCCCAGATGCCGTCTCAGGCAAGGGGTTCTCCTTCCCTTCCTCCTCCACCGAGAACATGACATCCCCGCAGCTGCCCAGAGGTGGTTCCGTCTCCTGCTCCGGGTAGTGTGGGGCATGGTCCATCTCCAGGTCCTCCTCGAGCTCGGGCGCCGCCGGCCCCGCCAGGCCCCGGCCCTCCGGCGCCTCGGTCTTCACGGTCCCCACGATCACTGTGTCGGCCTTCATGATGTAGATTTTCTCTGCAAAGCGGAAGGAGGCGCGCGGTGAGAGCCCAGAGGATGAGCAAGGGGGCGGAGGAGGGTCCCAGTCCAGCTCTGCCACCCCTGCTGTGTGGCTCAGGCAGGTGGCACAACCTCTGAGGTGCGCAGTAAGCCCTGCCAACCTCACAGCCAGGAGCTGGGTGCTGAGGAGTTAGCCACTGGCCCACTTGCTACCTATGGGTGATGCCTGTGGTTGTCTGGGCACTTCTGCAAGGATGGGGTGGGAAGGAGAGAACGGGGACAGGGGAGAAAGCCAGGTGTGGGGAGGAAGCAGTAGACTCAGTCCCCATGGCTCCTCCATATGCCCACTGTAATCGAGAACGAAGACTAAAATAATAACAAAGCACCAGGGAACTCGCGAAGAGGTTCGCTCTCCACACTTTAGCTCCTGAATCCTCACATCCCTTCTGCCAGGTAAACAGTCTGTTCTTATCCCCAGTTACAGGTAAAGGACCTGGAGCCCAAAGAGGCTCAATGACCTGCCCCAGGTCACCAGGTAGTTAGCAGAAATCCCCAAAGCAACTCCTGCCCCGCTATCCGTTCCACTCCTTTCCACGGGCCTAAAGCAGAAACCAGCGTGTCCTGGGTTGCCCGGGAGGCTCTGGTGTTCGCCGTACAAGTTCAACCCAGCAAGCCAGGCAGCTGTCACCCCCTGCAGAACCCTCAGCCGTGAGTAACCCAGCAGCCCGATTCCGGCAGCTTTGGGAGGGGCGGTATATTTCAGTGTTAATCGCTTATTGCCCATTCCGCCCCCCTCACCCCCCCCCCACACACACACACCAAGGCCTCATGGCTGTGCCTGCCTAGCACACAGTAGGACTGCGTATGTATGTCACTTGGATGAAAGCCCCGCCCAGCCCATCAGAGGTGTGATTCCCCCGGTCCTCAACACCATTTCCTTCCTTTGGGGGTTTCAGAGGCTCAGGGGAGTTAAGGAAACTGCCAAAGACACTGGGAAGTGGGGAGCCCGGCCTGCAGCCAGGTCAGCTGACTTCAAGCACCAGCTGGGCTTCTTCCGGTATCTCAGGCTCAGGGCAGGGTCCCAGCTCCCAGCTGCTCAGCCCTGGATTCTGGAGGCTGAATGGGGAAGCTCAAGAGGGAACTTGAGAGCTGGGGTGGGGCAGGGGGCTCGGGATCCCTGCTTCTCTGGGTAACCGGTTACACCCCTCTGATTCAGGAACCCCCAAAATATTCTTGGGGCCCCTGCGCCCTCAATCCTGTTACATAATGCCGGCGCTTCTGTGTTGGTTTTAACACCCCCAGGAAAGAGAGAAGTGTTCAAAATAGCAGCAGGAACTAAAGAGGATGAGGGAGAGAGAGACACAAGCTGTGGGCTGGGACCCCCCTTCACCCCAAAAGAGAGAAGAGGGCCTCAGCCACACACATCTTCACCAAGACCTGCAGGCCCCTCGCCCCGGGAGGTGAGAGAGAGGGAGGGCACAGAGGGGGCCAGGCAGGGCTAGAGGAGGTGAGAGAGAGACAGACAGAGACAGACAGAGAGGAGCAGGGTGGGTTGTCTAAGTTGAAGAGACCAAAGTTGGGGGCCAGACCATCATTCCCCTCACATTCCTGTGTCCTGAGTCCTCTGGCTCTGGCCCCATCCCAGAGCTGCCCAGCCCCCAGTCTGCAGGGGCAGGGTTTTCTAGAAGCTACTGGGATTCCTGACTCACCCAGGGCTCCGAATCCAGGGAAGCTGTGTGCGTGTGTGCATGTGTATGTGTGTGTGTGCGTGTGCGCGTGTGTGCGTGTGTGCATGTGTGGGGGGGGGTGAAGGTGGGGGAAAGGGGCCGCTGACCTGGTGCTATGGTCAGGGGGAGTGATAAGGCTCAGGTAGGAGTTTGGTCCCCTTGGGAATTGAACACAGGGGTGCCCCTCTGAGGTAGTGTCAGAGGGACAAGGGGCTCACTGCCCCTTGGGGATCCCAAGAGAGCCTCCCAGGCTTTCCCTCCCACCACCCCACGCCCAGCAAGGCCCGCAGGCTGGCTTGGCCCTAGGCAGGCTGCCCATGCCGCTGCCCGCACCGCTCCCCACACCCCAGCTGCCCTGGGAGTCTGGTACCTGCTTCTGCCACCCCCTCAAACACTCCAGAACCCCACCCGCGCACTTCCAGGCACTGAACTCAGCACAGGCTTGAAACTCCAAATTAGGACTTCTTCGGAAATGTGAAGGAGATGCCTTTGGCGATATTTCCCAAAACTCATTAAAAAAAAAAAAAAGCCAAAAGCTGCAGCTCCCAAAGTTTCCGTTTGATACGAAAGACTCTGCCCTAAAGAGTTCTGTCCACCAGGCCTGCCATAGAAACGTGTGCTGCGACTGCAAATGCCTCTTTGGTGTCATCCGAGTGGTGGTTAACCCTCCAGAGAAGACGAGGAGGGGGCCCCCCGAGGCCCTGGCCCCAGGGGCTCACAGGCAGGTGAGGGGCAGGAGAAGGCCACAAACACAGCCACGCTGCCAGTGCTGAGGACACTGGGTGGGAGGCCTGGAGTCGGGGGGAGCACAGCAGAGGCCATCTGGCCTAGACAGGAGAGCGGGAAGAGCAAGGAAGGCTTCCAGGAGGAGGAGGGAATAAACAGGGTCTTCAAGTGGGTGGTGCTGGCTGTCCCAGGCAAGGACACAGCTCCCACAGAGAAGCTTAGAAGTGAGCAAGGGCTCCGTAAGCTTAGGAAACTGCCATTGAGCAGGGGTCAGGAGGCAGGTGAGCCTGGTAGAGAGAAGGCAGCTGGTGACCAGCCTTGAATGCCGGAATAAGAACCCTGAAGTCATCCAGAAGTAGCAGGGACCCCTGGCGGGTTTTAAGCAGGGTGTAATAGAGAGGTATACAATGTGGGAGAAACGTTCTGGTGGTGGTAGGCAGGAGAGGCGGCCTGAGGCCTGGAGGAAGCCGAAGGGGGGGGAGGTGTTCGAGCCGGAGGGCAGCTGTCATTTGGGAAGTGCTGGCCATGGTGCCCGCAAGGCCACCAGGGTGGTGGTGCAGACAAACCTGGGGTTTCGGACGAGCCGCAGCCCTGCCACCTCACCGTCGTGTGCCCAGGAAAAGCGTGTCACGCCCGCCCCCTCAACAGTTTCCCCAATTGCGAAAAGGGGAAGACACCAGCCTCCCAGGCAGTGTGACCGTGAGGTGACGCTCGCGTGGTGCCCAGAATGATCAGGCCAGTGGCAGCTCTTATGTCACTGTGTGTCTTCCCGGGTCCCCTCAGGGGCTCTCTGTTGGGGGCTGGGGGCATGTTCACTTTTCTCTCTAATAATAGAGGGCACCAGGCAGGGGGCGCCTCTTCCCTCCACCCCACCCCCAAGACAACTTCAGCGATTATTTCAGGAACGCCCC